GGTTTTGTTCCTGCAAAAGTCAGAAGTTTCCCCTTCTTTTCTTTTTTCAATGTCTGCAGACTAGTTTATTCAGAAGGTGGAAGAGGCGGGAGAGGCGGGAGTGTGAAATGGAATGAAAATGATGCCATGTAATCAATTGGGCTGAGGTGTTTTTTCCACATAGGCATCTAAAAATTAAAAGTTGTAATTGTTGGATACTTAACGTGCCAAGTTAGCAATCTTTCAACGGAAGGACCATTTGGGTTCCAGAAAAATGAAGTTAAAGGACAACTTGGGTGCTTTCATTTGTTAAAGGACGAACTAAGTTCTAAAATGAAAGTTTAAGGACCAAATTGGGTATTAAACCTTCAAAGAAAAGACATATAATAGTATACACTAAAGTTTATTAATTAATTAGCGAAAATTAAAAAAGAAAAAAAAAAGGTACTAGTGATGGAGTTAGCAAAGCATATATTAAAATCAAGTTTTTGGACAAGAAGAAACGAATGTGAAGAAAAATATACAAGGATTGAAAAATTATACCAGTTCGTCTAGAAATTGGACTTCTTCTTTCTTGAAGGTTTGAGAATAGAGAATGCAGATTTTACCAAAATGATGCAATCTGCAAAAAATAATGCAATATGAGATGATAAGTGGTACATACTAAACTATACAAAAAATCAGAAGGCTGAAAAGCATGCTAGGAACGCAAAAGAGGACCGAACCATTCGTGAAGCCATTTGAACGCGAAGCTCATCAATTGCATAAGACAATATGGGAATGGAGAGAAGAGGGCAGTAAAAGAAAACAAGTGGAGAAGGAAAGCAGTGAAAGGAAACAAGTGGGAAAATAAGTCAATGGGAGCAGCTTTTTAGATTTGTACCTTATGAGTGGAGAAGGAACTACGAAGGCAAAAGGAAGGCAGTGAAAGGAAACAAGTGGGAAAATATGTCAGTGGGAACAGCTTTTTAGGTTTGAACCTTCTGAGTGGAGAAGGAACTAGGAAGGCGGAAGGAAGGCAGTGAAAGCCTGAAAGGAAACAAGTGGGAAAAATTGTCAGTGGGAACAGCTTTTAGGTTTGAACCTTCCGAGTGGAGAAGGAACTAGGAAGGCGGAAGGAAGGCAGTGAAAGCCTGAAAGGAAACAAGTGGGAAAATATGTCAGTGGGAACAGCTTTTTAGGTTTGAACCTTCCGAGTGGAGAAGGAACTAGGAAGGCAGAAGGAAGGCAGTAGGAAGGCAGTGAAAGGAAACAAGTGGGAAAATATGCAAGTGGGAACAGCTTTTTAGACTTTCATGCCCTGTTTGATTGAAAGGAATTCTAGCATAAAGATTTTCAAATGAGTGATTCAAAAATTATTCTATTATATTGTGTAATTTAACATAATCCAAGTTAAAAATTTAGAAGGCTTTAACATTTGCTACTTTGGTGATAATATTATATTACATAAATTATACTATACTGCATAATTTAAATAATTAAATATGAGATAAGTTCCTTAATAGAAGTATTAAAAATTATTCCTCAATCCAATAATTTTTGTTTCCCCAAAGCAATGACTGGGTCCGTCACTGCATTATTGGACTTGAATATAATCCACCACGTCTTCTCTGTGTAGCAACGACTGGGCCGGCAATTGACCCCACTGCATTATTGGACTTGGGCAATAATTCAATACCTTTTTCCTGTATAACAATAATCTTGTCTTATTGCTTTTGCTTTTTTGTTTAATTTTTTCCAAAAGATAAAATTGCCTTTTGCTTTTGGGATCCAAAATGCTAGTATTACAGTATTAGTCAAGTTTGGCTTCCTCTAAATCTGATTAATTTGATTTGATTTTCGTGTACTTTAATTATTAAACTATTTAATTATCAAACGCACACAGTAACAGTCATCAGCCCAATTATTTAATTTGTATCGTGGCATCCTTCATCCTGCAATAGGTCACCCGCACAAACAAATTAACGTGGATTGGTTTGCTTATTATCTTAATCTCTAAAACGGAGTTGTGAATTTGATTAGAAAATCAATCCCAGGCAAAAAAACTGTGGTGTTTATATTCAATTTAACTTATATAGTAATGATTACTCTTTATTTTGTTAATACCATCAAAATTATATTCAATTTGATTGATATTTATAGTTTTTTTTAAGAAGATAGTTATGCTTTCTAAAAATATTAGTTTATACATTAATTTTATTTTATTAAATAATAACTATTAATTGTTCTATTAATTATTA